AAAAAAAAAAAAAAAAAAAAAAGAATGAAAAGAATTCGTTTGGAATTCAGAACTAATCGGCGGTAACAATCTTCAGAAACGCGTTCTTCACAATTTTCATTTTCAGTAATTTAAAAGAATTTTGTCAGGTGACTTTATTTACAGAAATTGACCATGAAACTAGGTTGAAAAGCGTCTTTTGAGTAACCTTGAATAATGCGGAAACGGGTCTCCATGAAACTCGCGTTATCATTTTCGGAATCAACTGAACTTTACCGCACTATGAGAAGTACTTCTTATTAGAGTTCTAAAGCAGCACCAAAACAAACACTATATGTGTCTTACAAGGATAGTTTTTCCCGCTGTAAACTGACTAAAAACTGGCAAGTGAGCGTGTTTTTATGTATCATCGTAGTTTGACTGAGGGAAATACATTCTATATTTAACTGTTTGTTTAGAAGAGGTTTGGGCGGGCCACACGCTGTAGCATTTTTCCTGTCGCTTGTGTACTTTTTTAAACCTATATAGAAATCGTCTTTCATAGCGGGCGAAGGTTTCATCCAACGAATTCGAAATCGGTTTTCTCAGTTGCAAATTTTTAAATTTCCATTGGAAGAGAAGATACGCCGACCCGAGATATTGAGTAAAGTATGTTCTGTGATTCGTTCTATGAACTTGGAATAATAAATCAATAAGCCGAGATGCAACCGAAAGAAATGATAATTATATTTAATTGATCTCTTGACTGCCTCCCGAGACAGTAGAGGGTTTTTTTTAAGCCCCTTGCAGCCTTGTCGTTTCACTAGACTTGCAAGAACCGGGGGTTTGCTTCATTTCTATTTACGAGGATTCTCAGAATCTTCTTCAACGGAAATGAACCAATGAACTCAATGCTAATAAATTCAATAGGAGAAACTCTCTGAATTTTTCGAGATCATTCTGCGCTGTTGTAAACATCTGCTGTGCGCACTGAGTTCATCTGGTTTGAATAGTGTTTTTGTTTTTTTTCTTTTAATTTTATCTATTACATTTACTGCCATTCAAGAAGTACTAAAAACCTATATTGCTGAGCATGTTTCAAAAACATGGCTAGATCGTTGATAATTAAATAATATTTAAGAACCTTTACAAATTAGGCCAATTTTTCTGTTGACAGAACTAGAGTTGCACACGTAGATTTTGACAAAGTTATAATTTTTTTTCAGCGGAAGCTTTCCAACGGTCACGAAAGTAAGTTTATCTTAAATTTATTCAAATGTATATTAACTCGAATCGAAGTAAATTTCGCGTTCGTCATACCTGGTTGATTTAACAGTAAACATAACTTCTAAAACAATGTCTGCTTTTTCAAATGAAATAAACATTGAGTAAATAAAAAGAAATTTATTGATCTTTACCGGTACGTACAAACGAGTAAGTAAGTAAGTAAGTAAGTTGTCACATCCGAAAGTTTGGTGGTCAAAGTAGCACTTTATTTTAGTTGAGACATTGATTGATTTGTGATCTTTGACAATTAGTACTATGAAATGATATTTTTGGATTTATATTTAAGTGTAATCATACGTATTCCAATGCTCAATGTCAAAATGAAAAATCTTTCCAGAAGTGTTAATAAATCGAAAACAAAAATCGTACTATGAGGTTTTTAATATCCATTACAGTATACGGTTTTCAATGCTGCAGTGTTTAGCCCGGGTGATGATATTTTTAATTTGTGGAAGAAATGTCGTTTCGTTAAAAAGATTATTCCAACTAGTGACCATTAAAATCGTGCGATTTCGAGACTAGAAAGAACAGCAAAGAAGAGTTTGAAGTTTTTACTGTTTGTGATGTAGTATTTCTTCCTGTCCTTTGTCATTGTTGTTCAACGTCATTTGTTCGGCTACATGCAGAAGAAACAGTCTTTTTCATGTTACAAAATCCTATCAATATTTACTGCGATTAAACAAATTTCACCAGTTACGTCATTCAGTAGATAAATTGCTCCGATTTGAGCTTTACTTCACCAAACCTTTTTGGTTCCAAGAACGACACGTCAACAGTTTGATTGTGTCTGTGCCGGCATAGTGAAGAGCAACATTCTACTCCTCAGAACAAGAAGATGCTGAAGATGTTGTTTGCTTACTTGACTTCGTCCCTGTTGGGTTTGTTTCTCTTTTCCACTGCTGTCGGTATGTTTCACTGAATTTTTTTTCCTCATTTTTTTTTAAGAATCACCAAGAAATGCTGTTAAAATATGCATCTTTCAAGTTAGTCAAGAAAGGGAATTGTAGTAAATCTTCCGGTCATCCTACTTTTTTTAATTCAGTCATAATCATATCTTTGTATGGCGCAAGTACCATACCGCATTTATACCTTCGGTGCAACGTATTTTTCGCACAAGTATTTTTCATTCTCTAACGCTATTTCAAAATCGCACCAAGGGAAATATGAAGTAAAAGGACTCAACTGTTCGCGAAAATTAGAGGGCTTCCTCGTACAGTGTAATTTACTTGAGTAACACAACGAACACTGAGGACACTCACAAAAGCAGGTGGATAGAAAGTAGTGCAATGTGTCAGTAACGTTTTTCTTCATTTTGTTGCTATTCATAGATGCCAAAACAGACGAATTCTTTGAAATGAAGGTTTTCAATCATGACTTTGAAGCCTCTGATTCTGAGATGCATGCAATACTAGAGAAGGCAAACCTCCCAGCCCATGGCTACAAAAAAGAAGTGGTTACCAAACTAGTACAGAATGCTGGTGGTCAAGATTACCAGGCATGATGTCGTTCTCTTTGCATTTGTACAAATGTTACTAATCCTCAGATTGTAATGTATACGTTCGAATAAGTGCAAAATATGGTGACTGCGTCATTATTTGGTGTAATCGTGTATTCTTCCTTGGAAACTCTGGAAGCTGACTCAACTGTTAGTAATGGAGTTGTAATCAGTCATTATTTTGCTTTCCAGAAAGCATACTTCTACTACAAGAGCATCAATTGCTCAAAGATGCAGGAGGTTGAACAAGAATTGGAACGTTTGTTGCCAGGTAAATCGTAAATCCGAGAAATTACGTGTTTGATCTGGATTATTCTAATGCAAATTAATGTTGCTTTTGTAGAACAAGTTTCTTTCTATAAAAATAATAAAATGATCCAAAGAGGCTCACTGGGATATAATAACTGGAGAGTAGGAAAAGGGAAAAGGAAAACCCGACATTTTTGGTTGCATAATCAAACAAATTCACATTTTGTGTATGAAATTGTGCTATTATTTACGTTTCAGATTTATTTCTCAACAATGATACAAAATCATCCTAAATAATATTGTTTTCCTTTACACTTGCAACTTTAAAGTCATGTCCGAAAATTCTAAAGAAAACTTGGCCTTAAAACCTTTCACACTAGGCCTCCAGCTTCGCTACGCGTGGAACAGTGATCTATCCAGAAAAAGCTGTAGTGAGTCCTGGGACTCACACAGCCAGTAAACTACGAGTCCAAGGCCCAAGAGTGTGATTCGAAGGTTAATGAACATGTGTCCCGTACTCTTGGGGACAAAAAACATGTAAACAAAAGTTGGCCATTTGGTGTTCTTGAAGACCAGCATGTCGAAAGAGCGCACTGTTTTGAAAATTCTTGTCTTAGGACACCTTGCTCATTTCGTTAGACTTCTTAGCTTTCGTACAGATTTTACAAAACATGAAATTGCCATCTCTATTATACAACAACCAAGTGTACTTTTTCAGCCACAGCTCGGAAATTTTGCCTCCTTTGGAACTGGAAGGAGTAACCTCTGTTGTCTGATTGTGTCAAATGTGTGCCAGTTCCTGTTAAAAAACAAAATGACCCACCCCAATGGGAAAATGAAAATTGATCGACCCACCCCTTACCAAGGGCTCAAAAACTGATGAACCACCCCTTCTCAGCTCCGCCCACCCACCCTCCCCCCAATACTTTCCGACCAGTTCCTTATGCTGGCTGGATTGACAAGTAAGCATACNCCCCCCCCTTGTAATCCTTTTTGACCAGTCCCTTTTAACATCATAACACTTCTTACTTCTACTAGGCGTTGTTGGAAAAGATATAGGGACAAAGTTCAAAACGGAAATGGGAACCAGACATCTTGGCAACATGGGAATGTGTAGAGTGGGACTGGAGGTTCATTTCAAGGAAGCTGAGGGTCGCTATGACGATCAGAAAGCTGTCCCCCAACGGCGTAAGAGGAAGCGTAGGGGCGGCTGGTGCCTCATTTGTGTTAACTGCAAAACTGAGTAGTAGGAGGCCCTCAAATCCTGTCTGAGCTACCCAGCCACTAGTTTTGACTCAGAGTTGTTCGTCCTTACTTTGTCGTGGTTTTGTTTCTTGTGTTCTAGGACAGATTTAGTTACATAGATTCGAACGTGTAGCTTGCAGGGGTTAAAGCTTTAATAAACGCTGATTTAAAACATACCTGCTTGCTTTTTGATATTTTTCGGGAAGGAGAGAGAGGTGGGCGACAGAGCCTGGGCCGAAAACCCTGGCTCCACAACTTGCAAACAGATCAATTTATGATGTTTTCACGAGGCCTCCTTGCCTGCGTAAAATTTGACAGTATTTGGTTCCCTGCCTGCAAACAAAGGGGACTTTTGTCTGCGTATGCGCGAAAAAGTAAAAAGTTTTTTTCAATCTCGTTCCCAGAGCCCACGTGTCTTTTGGTCAGCGCCAACCAAAAGAAACGTGGACTCTGGGTACGACCAGGTGATCTGTGATTTCATTGCGGGAGCCTGGGGAAAGAAATTTTAATGCCGTATCCCATAAACAAACGCACGCACCAATTCAATCTGTTTTCGAATCATGGCGGCTGGTCGGCTACCATGCGGAAAGGTTTGCGACATAGAAATCGTTCCATGGAAGAGAGATATTTATTCTAAATTAAACTGAAAGTGAAAGGTCAAAAGCTTACTTACCAGGATGTCTTCTGTGAGTCGAATCCTCGTCTAATTCTTTCGGATTTCGTCAGCGCTCGATTCTTTCCCGTGGAAGAGTGTTGAATTTACATGTACATTCAATCTGTGAGTACATTTTGACGACGTACTCAGTTTTATTCTGCGGTGAAAGTGTTGTTAACAGATCTAAACAAGCTAGCTGTCCGGCTCCGATGAGAGTCGGATCTTTCAGGACCGGATATCTTTCCTCGGGATTTCCATGGACGTGCGTACTTGGAGGGTAAGTTGCCTGTAGGCCTCCATCGGCTGTTCGCTTCAAGGGTGGAACTTTTAGTAGCAGCTCTTTCAACTGGCTGAATTTTGACTCTCTTTGACGCATCAGTCC